GATACAGAGCTTTGGGATCATCAAAAAACACTCTTCAAATCTAAGAGCATCTGTTCATAAACTAGCCATGAACTAAATAAAAACCAAGTGGGCTAGAGGTGTAGCTCAGGGATAAAACTCCATTTCAACGGGTATGAGGCCCTCCGTTCAATCCCTGGCATCTCTTGTACCTACAGAAAACTATTTTTTAAAACTTTTACTAAAAAACAAAGCAGGCATGCTGGCACATGTCTGTAATCTCAGGCCTTAAACTGAGGCAAGAGGATCAGGGGTTCAAGATCATCCTTGGTTACATAGTTTGAGGCTAGTCAAAGCTACGTATGATCCTGTTTTAAAAAATTAAACCAGGCATGGTGGCATACGCCTTTAAATCCCAGTACTCAGGAAGCATAGGCAGGTGAATCTCTGGGAGTTCGAAGCCAGCATGGTCTACAGAACGAGTTCTACAACAGTCAGGGCTACACAGAGAAATCCTGTCTCAAAAAAACATGTGCCAACTCCACACACATACATATTAAAAATGATTTAATAAAGAGTTAAAAATGTATTGACTTAAAAAAAGAAAGACGAAAAGCTGTCAAGTTTTTAGTTAGTTGAAGAGTAAACTGGGCCGGGGACATAGCTTAGATTTTAAAGCACTGGTCTAGCACCATGAAGTTCAGGGTTCAATTCCTAACACAGCCAGGGTGCCAGGGGCTGTAATCCAGCACTCTATGAAGGCAGGAGGATGAGGAGTTCAATTATCCCAGACTATTTTTAGCCTGGGCTATAAAATCTTGCTTATACTGGGGGTGGGGTGATATACAACAAAGAAACAAACAAATGTATTTGTTGCTGTTGTTGTTGTTTTAGTTTTTTGAGACAGGGTTTCTCTGTAGCTTTGGAACCTGTCCTGGAACTAGCTCTTGTAGACTAGGCTGGATTCAAACTCAGAGAGATCTTCCTGCCCCTGCCTCCCAAGTGCTAGGATTAAATGTGTGCGCCATCACTGCCTGGCTGACCCCCCCATCATTCTTTTATTTCCTAAGACTTATTTATTAATTATGTATACAGGGTTCTTCCTGCATGTTTGCCTTCAGGCCAGAAGAGGGCACCAGATCTCATTATTGATGGTTGTGAGCTACCATGTGGTTGCTGGGAATTGAACTCAGGACACCTCTGGAAGAGCAGTCAATGCTCTTAACCTCTGAGCCATCCCTCCAGTTCCCCCCTCCCCAAATCATCCTTAAGACTTAATTAATTAGGTAGAAAGACAGATATAAAACCTGGGCTACCCCCAGAAAGAGAAACTGGGGAGAAAGCACAGCACCCACATGGCAGCTCCAATGCCTTCATCTGACCTCTTTAGGCACCAGGCACGCACAAACACAAATGCAGGCAAAACACATACATTATAATAATAAACAAACAGGATGGGATAAACTGGGCATGGTGGCTGTAGTTGGCTTCATGCCATCACTTGGTGGGAAGAACCAGACAAACTAAGTCTGGGGCCAACTTGATCTGCATACGCAGTTCCAGATCAGCCAGGGCTTAATAGTGAGACCCTGTCTCAAAAAAAAAACAAAAAAACAGTGGAATTAAGTTCAGTAGTACAGCAATTACCTAGCATGAGCAAAACTAAGTTCAACTTCCAATAATAAACACAAAAACACACAGTAAACTAAATAATAGAATTCAAATATTTAAAAAGAAAATCATAAACAGCTACAAAGATGTACAGTAAGAACAACTCAGGCCTATGAACAAGAAACTAAGTGGGGGTTGGCAAGATGGCTCAAAGGGTAAAGGCTTGCTATGAGTCAAGCCCTACAACCTGAGCTCTATCCTCAGAACTCATGGTGGAAAGACAGAACCACCTCAACAAAGGTCTTCTAACCTCCACATGTAGAACACAAATAGTAAATAAAACTTAGAAAAAGCTATCTATAAATCTCCACACTACAGAATTTTATGCAGTTATTCAGAAGAATTAAACAAATCTACATATTCTGGTATTGAAACACAGGCAAGTCATAGTAAATAGAAAAAAAAAAAAAACCCAAACTCTACCTCTTCATATAAAAGTAGAAAAGGGTTGATGGAAAAACTGAAGTTTTTTTTAAAATTCATATTTCTTATGCACACTGGTGTTTTGCCTACATGTCTGTGTGAGGGTGTTAGATCTTGGAGTTATAGGCAGTTATGAGCTGCCAAGTGGATGCTAGGAATCAAACCCAGAACCTCTGGAGAAGCAGTCAGTGCTCTTAACTGCTGAGCCAGCGCTCCAGCCCTGAAAACTGAAATTTCTTTAGGAAACAGACTGGTGATGACATTTCAATCAGTATTATTTACAAATGTACAGGCAAGCTGAATGAACTTTAACAGTGAACACCCAGAATCCCAGTCTCCAGTTAACATTTACCTTACTGTGTCTAGTTTCTGAATGCAGTTCAGCACATGTCAAGGCCCTTCAGCCCCCAAACAACTCACCATCCTAATAGCTAAAGTTGACGGAAAGTTTACAGATCATTACATTTGACAAAATTAGTTCACATATACGACCCCAACTCCTACTGAAGAGATAACCTCAAACCATCCCAGCAGATCTCTATTCCCACTGCTCTAGACTCAGCCTCCATTCTGCACATTTTCACAGCATGCAAATAAAATCATCTAGTATGTACTTTCTTCAGTGAAGCTTTCCCAATGGAATTATGAGGGCTTTTGTTTGTTTTTAAAATACCCGGTCTTATGAGTAGCTCTGGCTGTCCTAGAAATCCCTATGTGTACCAAGCTAACCTTAAACTGCCAACTGCTGGAATCAAAGGCATGTGCCACCACACTCAGCATCATCCCTGTCTTGTATGGCCTTAATACATTTCTTAGTTGAGTTGTACTCCACCGTGCAGGCATACCAGTTTGTTTGCCTATTCTCCTACTGACGGACACCTGGGCTGTTTCCAGTTTAGAGCCATTATGAACACAACTACTATGCACATTCTTGTTACAAGTGTTTTTGTGGATATGTTTTCATTTCTCTTGGGTAAACACATAGGAGAACTGCTGGGTTAGGATGTAAGTGTATATTTGCTTTTATAAGAAGCTGCCAGACTTCTTCTACCCAAAATAGATACATCAAGTATCACATGTTTAAAAGCACTAACACAGATAGTAGTGATTGCCCAGAGAAACTGATGGTAGCAAGGTACCTACTGAGTATGGATATCTATTTGTAAAATTGCAAACAAGTGTGTTAATTGTTACATGAGAGTAGGAACCCAAGAGTCTACATGCCATTCAGACCAGTTCAAATTATTTTTTTCTTCCATGCCTTCTTTTGGGAATAGAGAGCTGAGACAGTCTCACACAGCTCAGGCTGGCCTTGAACGTCTGCTTCTCCTGCTGGCATCCCAATCTTTAGGGTTACAGGTCTGCACTCCTGAGCCTGGCCCACTTCAATATTTCTTGAGTCAGTCTACAATGACCACTTTTATGTCTAGAGTCAACAGACACAACTCATTTTTGTAAATCAAATACTGAGAAGGCAGACACACAATTGTCATCCACTTGGAGTAACGGTAAAGCCACAATAGGCACCATGTAGCCAGCAAAGCCTACACACTCATTTGGTCCTTCAGTGTTTGCTGCTTCCTAGCTGAAAGCATCCGGACGGGCTCATACAGTGAGGTCTGAAATTCCATGCCCTTTCCCCTTTATCAAGGTCCAGAGGCTCTTCAAAGAGAAATCTAAGCTTAGATACAGATGTGGAACTGGAACTTAGGTCTGGATTCTGTTCCAGTATGATCTTCTCAGTGGATTCCTGAGAGAAATCAAGTATTATACATGCACCATGTCTTGTATGTTCACCTTTATTATGGTGCTAGAAACTTCAATATCAGTGAGAAATTTAGTGGAACACAGTAATCTGGCTGACTGAATTATGCCTTCTTGTACAATGAACTACATCAAACTTTCAGTATAGATCTAAGTGACTAATTCAATGCTTTCTCAATATCACTTCCAGGACTAAATGAATCACAAGCTGAACTTTGCTCATCCCAAAAAACACACTAGATGCTACAGGGACATAAATGCAGCTGTAAATCCCGCATTATGGAACACACACACATCAGGTTCATAGTATTAGAAACAAGAGGTATTATTTTCACTTAGAATGCATCAGAAGGCTTGAGGCAGTTTTGACATGCAAAAGAAGTCACACAAATAGGGAGAACTAATATGCAGAGAATGAACAGTATGGGGAAAGGAATAAGCTGGCCATTCCGGACCAAGGAGGCCTTGAGAGCAGTGCATACAACCACAAAGAGGTAAGCGTGAGACCACATGAAGACCACAGCGAGGCAGCTGGCTTATGACAATATAAAAAGCCCATGACTAGACAGACATGCACACCGTGGATCCCAATACAAAGATACCATGGCTGCTGGGATACACCTCACAAGGCAGCACACAAAAGTCTGCTACATAGGTGATTTTTTAAAAAAGCTGGCAGTCATTTATGCCGGTAATCTAGTACTTTGGAAGCTGAGGCGGCAGGACTGCCTCAAGTTCAAGTCTTCACAGTAAAACTGTCTTTATAAAGGGGCGAGGGAACAAGGTGACTTAGTGAGTAAAAGTATCTGCTTCCAAGCCTGATGACCTGAGTTTGATCCCTGGGACCCACAACGGTAGGAGAGTCAGCTCTAACAGGTTGTCTTGAGACTTTTCCATGTGCATTGTTGAAATATGCACATGCACAGACAGACTGAAATGAAACAGTTACTTAATATATTAACTAAGCGTTAAGAAGATAAAGTCATTCCTGGAACTGGAGTTATAGATGGTTGTTTTGGGAGCTAGAGAGATGTCTAAGAAGTTAAGAGCAACGACTGCTCTTCCAGAGAACCTGGGTTTGAATCCCAGCAATCTCATGGCAGCTCACAACCATCTATAACTCCAGTTCCAGGAATTCGACACCCTCCCTGACCTGCAGGGGTGCTAAGCACACACGGGGTGCACAGATATGCATGCAGGCAAAACACTCATACATAAAAATAAAATCTAAAAAAAAATTAAACGTTAAGTAAACGTTAAAATAAGTAACATTTTTCTTTTGCATAATCAGTGCTTAAATAACCAGTCCTTAATCAAATGCAATGATAAACCATTGCAAAATTATTACTGTAGGAAGGCCTTTGTTTTGTTTTTCTAAGACAAAGTCTTACTATGGTGCCCTGGCTGTCCTTAAACTCAATATGTACACTAGGCTGGCCTGCAACTTATAGCAATCCTCCCGCCTCTGTAATTCCATCTCCAATTTCCAAATAATGGAATTACAGATGTGAGCTGCCATGTTAGCCTATAAAACAGTTTTAAACATAAAATAAAACCCACCTGTTAGTACAGTTTAATTCTGATAAAAAAAATTCAGAAATCAACTTTGGGGAAGGGGGAAAAGCAAACTATTTCGGAGTGAGGTTCTTTAATAACATTAAAACACATATGGTCAACTGGGCAGTGGAGGAACACACCTTTAATCCCAGCACTCGGGAGACAGAGGCAGGAGGATCTATGTGAGTTTGAGGCCAGCCTGGTCTACAGAGCGAGTCACAGGACAGGTTCCAAAGCTACAAGAATACCTGTCTCAGAAAAAAAACAAAAGAAAACAACATCAACAACAAAAATATAACAAAAGCACATACGGTCACTATTACAATGACTCCTGTAACCTGCTTCCTTCATCCACCACAGGTCTACTTTCTGGACAGTTTAGGACTGATGTCTTACTCCTGTTGGGTGACACTTCAGTAAATGCCCTGATCGGGTGCTGCCCCTCCCGCACTAGCCTGCATTTATAACCTGCACACAAGGTAAGGTAAGTCTTTTAAAAGTGCCTATATGTATAGTTTCACAAAGGTCCTACTTACTGGATGAAGACCATCATCTCATAAAGCTACATCTCATCTCATAAAGTGTTATACCCGAATGATAGCCACACTTGCCTTCTCTATAGCTAACTAACTAGTCTCCTGAGCAGAGCATTTGCTAAGGCGGGACCCAGAATGGAAGCAAGTGGTTGCCAAAATGGCACTTCATGAATCTATTATGAATAAAAAGGGCATCTGAACACGATGACATGAGCTAGTTATGAACCAGAATTTATGTGGTTATGCTTAGTAATCAGAATCTTGAGTTGTAAGCAAGTCAATATTAATCTACAACATTTATCAATAGACAACCTAGATAACAATGCCCCAAGTTTATCTTTATAATGATACCATGCCAGGCATAATTTACAAAATAGAACTTCTAATCTGGACTCTGCCCTCTCACTAACTCACCAAGTGATTTTTCTCACCTACGTCTTGAGTACAATTCCTGCTGAAAACACATTTTTTACATTACAGTATTTGATGCCTAATGTAAATTAATTTTTTTACATAGTGTATCATACATACAAATACAGAAACAATGAGAAACAACTCTTCCTTAGATATATTTTTGTTATTACATTCCATAATTGAATGTTAATTGTAAATCAGATGTGGTAACAAATGCCTATAATCTCAGCACTCAGGAAGTAGAGGTGGGAGAGCCTGAACTTAAGTCAGCAGGATTCAAAACAACCAAATAAATTTAACTGCAACTCATGGCACACTGCCTACCTTAATACTAGATGACAGCCAAGTCCCAGCACATTAGCTCTAATTGTACTTAATTCACAAGATCAGCCACTAGGCACCAACATTTTTGTTCTGTTTCGTCAGAAGCGGCAACTCCTTATTCCTGCTGTGTGCTCACTGTTCAGCTTGAGAGAGTAACTCTAGATATACCTCAATCCCCACACTGCTACTCAAAAGCTTCAGATCGCTGTTTTCAATACAGCAATATGATGCAATAAGCAAAATTTTCATTTTCTAAAATGCTTACAGTAAAATTACAGGCAGGGTTTCTGTGTTAACAACCCTGGCTGTCCTGGAACTCACTTTGTAGACCAGACTGGCCTTGAACTCACAGAGATCCTCCTGCCTCTGCCTCCTGAGTGCTGTGATTAAAGGCATTCACTACCACAACCAGTGCAAAAAAAAATTTCTTAAATATTTTTAAAGTATCTAATGTACTTATAGGCTACACCTCAGATCAAGATGGAACATACTGCAGACCTAAGAAAAATAAAACCAGAAAACTGTGGACATCTTTATAAAGTCTCAAGAAGCCTTTATACAAAACAGACAACAACTTTACAAAGGATAAAATAATGTTTTTTTTAAACTACTACCTGCATTAAATTTATGGAGGTGTGGAGACACAACTAGAAATATATAAAGAGGTTTTTTTTTTTTTTTTTTTTTTTTTTTTAGAAATGTAAAAGCAAAAGCAATCACAAGATAAGAATAGCCTCAGTGTTGAGGGTAAAACACCATTACATCCTTGGTGGGAATATACTCTGACAACTGCCAGGAACACACCATGACAACATGCTTTCAAACTCTAAAAGGTTTGTATGAGCAGCCTAGAAATCCCACAAACTGATCCCAAAGAAATAAATTTGGAAAACTGTACATACACAAGGGGAGGAGGATGAAGAAAGAACCAGTACATATGGGTGACAGAGATCCTTTTAACATGGCAAGGTGTTTACAAATACTTAGAATGAATCTACGGTTATCTCTTTTGGCTTTTAAAAAAGGAAACATCACACAAATTGTAGAAAGACATACCAGAATGTTAATGGTGGATCAGGCAGCTGGCTCATACAGGGCTTTGATGATTTTAAGTAAAAAGTACCCCTCTTGGCAGAGAGCCCCAAAGGCACATACTTGAGTCTGGGTGTAGGAGCCCTTCTCCACAGCACACTCAAGAGTCTAGGTCCACGGCCTTGAAGGCTGAGAGTGGATTTCAGCCTCCTCCCACCCACATTTCCTTAAAAGAATGCCCTTGTGCTGGAATCTTCAACCACCCCTGCCGCTCTGCACTGGCTCACAATTCCCTCAATAAACTCGAAATCTACTACTTGAGCATAAGGGTAATAAATGCTGATTCTGTAAAGAGGTCTTGCCTAATTCTTCCAAAGCTAATCCCAATTTTATTTTATGTTCCACTACAACCCTTATACTTTGTCCAATTAATTCTAGATACTTTGTATGTTATCTATTTAAATGCATATTATCAAGGAGATCTATTTGCTAAAATAAAGATTAAAACAGCAACTGTCTAAGCTACCCTGATGTTCACTCATGTAAGTGACTTGAGACAAGAGAACTACCAAAAGTAAGTCTGAGATCAGTCTGGGCTACAGTGAGAGCCTGCAGAAACCCTAGCGAGGTGAAGAGACTCAGTGCTGGAAATGAGAAAGGCAGACAGAAAGGCAAAAGGTAATCTACAAGATAAATCGCTCTCCACCACCCCAGATCGCTTCAGTTGGAAGTACAAAACAGAAATAAGCAATAATCATCATTCTCTCTTTAACTCTGGGTGGAAGGCTGATTTCCTTAGCAAGTAGTGAGCTCCCAAGAAAAGATAGCAATTTAAATAAAAATTGTACATAATTACTGGGCAGTTAGGCAAGGCATCTGTAAGATAATACAACCACTGGACTGGGATTAAAGGAGACTGGGCTCTTTTCTTGGCCCCGTAGAATATGTAATTTTACATAGGCAAAAATCACAACCTCTGGGTCTCATTTTTCTCATTTCTGAAGTGGAGGCTGGAAATTTAAAAAAACAAAAAACAAAAAAACCCAAAACCACCCTTCCAGGGCCCCTTTCAGCTTGTGACAGGAAAGTCGCCTTCCACCCTGCAGGAGCTCACTTCAAGTTATTTTTCTGAGCCACAGTTCATTTACCGTCTTTAAGCTTCTCAAATAAAATACCATGCCCCAACGGTTCTCAGCTCTAGAAATCTATTCTTGCTCGGAATGAGATAAAAAAAAAGTCAAGGTCCATTAACAAGATACTCTTTAAAAGGATTAAAAGGATTTCAAAAAGATAAAATTGTTGAAGTATAAAGGCAATAATGGAACACACTTGTTCATTTTCTCTAACATTTTTTTGAACAAAAAAAGGCACCTCACAACCGCACAACACCCAGAAGATGGATTCACTATATCTTTTTAAAACAATGAGTTCGCGCAGAGAAAAGCTGCTAACATTCAACCATCACCAAATGTTTTGAAGGCGAGAGGCGGGCACGCGGGCGGGGGTGGGGGTGTTTAGACTGGACTGTCTTTCCCCAAAGCAAAATCCGCAAGGTAGAAAAGTGCTATGACCTCCGAGCACGAAGAAACCCTCTCCGAGCCGGCCTTTCTCGGTCGGAATTCCAGTGCATGTTCGCGGACAATGTGCCCCAGTGATTAAGTCCCCGTCACGCGTCCCTGCAAGCCACCCACCCACCCACCCACACACACACACACACTCCCGGCGCTCGCCCGCACTCTCCCGGGTATCCGGGTGGCAGCGTCGCCGAGTCACAAGATAGCGGGCAGTGGAAATTTCCTCTCCCCAAGCAGGCGAGGGGCAGGTCCGGCTTCCCCAGTCGGCGCGGCCCGGGCCTCCAGGGCGCGCTCCCCACAAAGGAGGCCTGGCCGGGCCGGCGGGTCCCGTTTCCGGCGCCGCTCGCGGCGGGAACCGGCAGCACGTGCGCCCCGCTCGAGCCGGGGCAGCGGCCGCCCAGCCACGGAGCAGGGGCCCCCAGGCCGCGGGCAATGAATGGGGCCGTCCGCTGAGCCGCCCGCCCCGCCGCGCGCTCACCCCAGCTTTTGGCGGTGCGCCCCAGGAACTCTCCGCTGGTCGGGTTGTAGATGAACAGCTTCCACTCGGCCAGGCTCTGATGGAAGGACTTCTTCTCAGTCTTCGTCATGGTGGGCGTGCGGCAGGCGAGGCGAACCGAGGCCGCGGGACTGGAGGCGACGAAGGGCTCGGCGGCGCGTCCCGGCGACGGCGGCGGCGGCGGCGCAGCCCAGCGACTGCGGCAGAGGACTGCAGGGCCGGGGCCAACTCTCCGTTACCAAACCACTCGAGCCGACTGAGCCGCGCCGCGCCGGGCGGCTGCTGGGGCCGCGGGAGCCTGACGTCTCCGCCCGCCGCAGCCAATCCCCGCGGCCCTGGCGCGCACCCCGGCCGCTGCCTCCCGCCCAGCTGGGCGCGGCCCGAAGGCCAAGCGCCGCCCTGCTGGCCCCGCCCCCGACAGCCACGCCCAGGTTGCAAGGCTCCGCCCGTGACGCGGGGCCACGCCCCCGATCAGGCCCCGCCCAGCCTCGGCTCTAAGCGCCTGTGGCCCCCGCCCAGCACCGCGGGGCTGCGGGCGGAAGTCTCGAGGGCACAGTGACCAGCTGGGTGGTGGCCCGAGGACGGTGGGCACCCGCGTCTGCAGCGCTCTCCATTGGAAGCCCAGGCCTTCGGCCATCAGCCTGCGGGGTAGCCGTCAGAGCCTGGAGGGTGTCCTCGATCCAGGGGCCTCCTGCAAACCGCCGTGGCGCGTTCTTCTCGGGGCTCTGTGACGTCGCTAAAAGACACCTGCTGCAGGGCCTCGGCCGCGTTTGTAGCGTCCGGAGTGGACTGGCTGCTGTGGGCCACCTGACCGGGGCGTCGGGCATGGCAATTTTATTCTAAATGTGCAGTTGTTAACAAGATGGGGTGCCGCATGCTTTTTCTCGAGTCAGTTAAGCATATCAATGAAATCAATGTAAATGTTTTCCCGAGATTCCTGTCCACTAAAGGATACCTTGATTCCCACTCCCCTTCCCCGCCCCGGTCACTCCAATTGTTAACTACAATTCTTGATGGAGTATGGATGCTTGCTGGTGTTTCTTTGCCACTGGTGGCTGCTGCGCTGGGGAGGAGGAGAGGATGCAAGCAGCATTCTACAGGAGATGGAGCTGAAGAGCAAAGTGTTTCACATCATAGACGAGCTTTAAAAAAGACACAAAATGGGAGTTTGAGAAAGTGAGTATTTCTTCGGAAAAGAAATGGAATGTTGCCTCCGTTTAATAATAAGAATGAATAAACGCAACACAGTTTGCAGTAATTTTCTTCATTAACCACCCCCCCCCAATTTATGATGAGTATGTAAAATCAAGTTTGGTTTGTGAAAGGGTCTTCCTATGTAGCTTCCTCACTTGACACTGTATCTCAAGTTCCAGTCTTGCCTCAACCTCTTGAGTTTACAGGCATGTGCTGCCATGCCTGATTTCCAGTTGTTAATTGATTTGTTTTTGTGTGTTGGGGTTTGGGGGCAAGAGTGGAACCCATGGCCTCACGCATATACTGCAAGCATACACTACCAGCTGAGCTGTTTACTCAGCCTTCTAGTTATTTTTTTTAAGCCAATAACACCAGAAGGTTTGCAGGAGCATTTTGTAGACTTTGGCACGGAGCTGATATTAGAAATGCCAAAATATCACTCAAGGAGCCTAGAGTGCGTTTCTTTAGATTATAGGCAAGGTTGAAGACTAAGGGATGGAAATAATCTTCCCTCAAAAACTGAACTCTAGTCAAGGGTAGAGCTAGAGCACTGTTAGAATCAACTATAAGCTTTTTAGTTTAGGTGAGAAGAAAGAAACACAGAGTTTCTGGAATGAAATAGAAAACCTATCTGCTTATATGTGCTAATAGCACACACACTCAAGAACTAATTACCTGGTACACACAAAGAAAATAGGAACCTTAGGAAATTGTGTTTCAAAGATGTCGGTGGCTGTCTGAGAGTTTGTTTCTGTGTTTTAGTAGCCATAATATGACTTTTATACTTAGTGTTTTGTGGTTTTTCTAAATAAGGGTTCAAATATAAATATAATTCAGTAAACACTTTCAAAAATCATGGCTAGCATAGTTAGTGTGGCAGCCAGTTCCAACAGATTGCAATTTGGCAAAAGTATCATAGCCTACTCCCACAATATGGGAACTATTTGTTTCTCTCCTGTGTAATCATCGAGCATGACCTGGAAGAGAAAACACTAGTTGTCTTGGGATATGAGCCTGCCAAATACAAGCAGATGAAATATCAAGTTCAGTCATATTCCTTGTAGGTAACCTTCTTTTATAAGAGAAGTTGCTTTGCCAAGGTAAAATGCAGGATGCCAACTTCAGTTTGAATTTCAGAGCTGATGCAAAACTTTCTTATTATAAGTAATAAGTAAACTTTTAAAACCCCTTAGAAAAACTTTCCCCCTTTTTTGTATGTGTGGGGGTTTTGTTTGCACTTTGCCTGTGTCACACATGTGTGCCGTGACCAAGGAGGTCAGAAGAGGGCACATCCCTGGATGTTACAGACCATTGTGAGCTCCCTTGTAAGTCCTGGGAATTGAACCTGGGTCCTCTGGAAGAACAACTAGTTTTTTGAACTTCTGAGCCATCTCTCCAGCCCCAGTGTAAGTATTTTTAGTATAATATTTGGAACAGAGCTGCAAAGATGGCTTGGCAGGGAGAGGCACTTGCTGCCAAGTCTGAGAACCTGGTTTGATCCCCAGGGCCCACATGGTGAGGGGGCAAGAACTGAGTCCGTAGAGTGGTCCTCTCACACCACACATGTGCTCTGGGATGTGTGAGCACACGCACAATCAATAAATAAATACATGTAATACATTTAAAATAATAATAACAGTTACCCTGGAAAGTGCTGGGTTTTGTCTATCTGAAATACAAATACAGGTGAAATTCAACTATAACTAAGTATCCTATATTTTCGTTTGCTGAATCTGACAGTCCTACCTACCCTGTAGAAGACACACATACAAATCCCACAGTAGTAATGATCATGTATATCATAATAACTAACATTCTTGTCCTGGACTGGGTGGCTAGTGCAATTTATTTCACAATCTTCACAAAACCCAAATCTGATAGTGTCTGCCTGATTTTTTGTTTGTTTGTTTGTTTTGTTTTCGAGACAGGGTTTCTCTGTAGCTTTGGAGCCTGTCCTAGAGCTAGCTCTTGTAGACCAGGCTGGCCTCAATCGCGCAGAGATCCACCTGCCTCTGCCTCTCGAGTGCTGGGATTAAAGGTGTGCGCCACCACAGCCCGGCCACTGCCTGATTTTCTGAATGAGAAAACCAATGTTAGAGAAACTACTTCACTCGTGGTCATGACACCAATGAGTAGCAGCAGTCAGATTCAAGTGAATGTCTCTCTTCTGCTGCCTCAGGTAGAAATCTGGTGAAAAGTCACCAAGCTGAGGGAATCAAAAGAAAGACCCAGTTGCAGGCCACTTTCTGGGTGGCAAGATCCTTTTTCTACTTTCTATGGATGCAGATAGAACCATTTGGCCCTTAATTTACTGAAAATCTTAGGTTCGCGCCTCAGTTTTAGAAGCATGTATAAAAAAAAAAAAGCTTGGGTTCTTCCAACCACATCGTCTTTTCTAAGGGGGGTTATAACTGATACATCGATACTGCATTGCTGAAGATTAACTTTATCCTTCAGAGAATGGATATTAACATTTCCTGAGCCAAGCTTGGTGGCATTGCCTCTAGTCTCATCACAAGGGAGGCAGAAGGATCAGGAGGAGTTCAAGGTCAGCCTTGGCTACAAAGCAAGTTTGAGGTCATCCTAAGTTACATGAGACCCCCCCCCCCCAACAACAACAAAAAGGAAAAAATTTCCTTGCAAGCACTGTGCTGGCATCTCACTGTTTCTGACAGTTATGTCCACGTACTCCTTTCTGCAGAGCAAAGCCATTTTCTACTTGACTGCTTTTATTACTGGGCGCTTTTAAATAATCCTTTTGTAAATGACATCTCGACACTCTTGCAGATTGCAGGACACAATTGTTGATAGTCTTAAGCACAACATGTAGTCCCAGCACTTGGGAGGTGAAGGTAAAAAGATTGTAAGTTCAAGACCAGCCTGGGCTCCATGGTGAGTTCCAAAGCAAGCCCTAGCTATGCTATAAGACCCTGCTTCAAGACCTCAAAAAACAAAATGGTGTGAGCATCAGGGAATGGAGGCTTGTACCCTCGGTCCCAACAATTGGGAGTCTCAGTTACTTTCCTATTGTGACAAAACACCAAGACCAACACAATTTATAGAAGGGATTTATTGGTGCTTGCAGTTTCAGAGAGAGAGCTCATGGAAGGGAACATGGCATTAGGCAGGCAGGCCTGATGCTGGAGCAGTAGCTGAGTTTCCATCTGACCCCCACACAAGGCAGAAGCAGAGACGCACCTCCTCCAATAAGGCCACACCTAATCCTTCCCAAACAATTCTACCAGCTGAGGACCTAATAAGCAAACACATGAGCCGATGGGGGGGGCCATTCTCATATCAAAGTCCTACTCAGGAGGATTGCTCCAGATTTGAGGGCAACACGGGTATGCATACTGAGTTCCAGGACAGCCAGGGATACTTAGTAAGACCCTATCTCAAAAGATAAACACTTTTAAAGGGCCAGCTAAAAGGCTCAGCAGATAAAGGCACTTGCTGCACAAACCTGGCAACCTAGGTTCAATCCCTGTGAGCCCTCTTAAAAATGGAAGGAGATAACCAACTCCATAAAGTTTTCCTCTGACCTCTGCATGTGCATGGCGGCCCAGATCCCCCGGCCGTGCAGTAATGAGTAGAAAAGATAAGATATGGCACAGATCTGGCTTGTAAAGTGCCATAAAGCCCTAAAATTGGCTGTTATTATTTGTAGTTATAGAGTTGGGGCTTTTATAGTTTTATCACATTGGTTTGTCTCTTCTGTGTGTGTGCACATACACATGCTGTGATACCTTTACTCGCTGCACCATACTGTGGAGAATGGAACCCAGGGCCTCACGTGATAGGCACCGAGCCCCATCCCCAGCCTTGTTGCTGTGATTGTGAATGCTGAATGCTGATCTGCGTGTGTCCCTCAAAGGACCCTGCTCCCAGTATAGAGGTGTTGAGGTCGTAGAGCATTTCAGAAATGAGGCCTAGGCTTGGGGTGAGCCCCACTACTTACTCTGCTGGATGGATATACCAAGTTGCTCCCTAAATTGGTATCTCTATACATACCCATGCATTAGCACAACTTTGAGACCTCATCAGAGAAG